CGGGTAAAGCTCGCAGGTCCCCGGTTGATCCACCGAGAGAATGATATCTCCATTTTTCAGACCAGCTCTCTCTGCTCGCGATCCCTGTTCTAGTCCTTCAATAATGCCACTCTGAAAACTCCTGATGTCAAATCCCATATGAATGACTGGTTGTTCAAAAAGAACTGGGCCATCTTTGTCACCAAAGCTACTTTCCATATCATCCATCTCAATGATCTTCCCACCCATAAAGTTTTGAAAATGCTGGAGTGCCGTTTCATGTCCTAGCCAGCGACCAAGATAAGCTATCCAATCGCTTGCTCTGAGGACATCTCCTCTACGGCGCCGTTGCATTATGTCTGCGACAATCTCATCGATAGGACGTAAAACTCCTGCCCCCTGCTCTCTAGAAGATCGGCGGGTATAGGCGTCCATTTTGAGCATATAAATGCAACTTCTCATGAGGATTGCCGAGTTGCTATGCCAGGTTGATTCACGATATTTGAGAATCTCGCTCAAAGGGACTGAGATTAATGGATTTGTATAGTAGGCGGACAAGAAACAATTTAGCGTTTCTCGAAAATAGTCAGGTGAGCGCTGCTTAAATCGAAAGGGGAAGAAAACAGAGTATAATTGTGCAAATCCTACAAGAATGTTAGTCCAAAGCCTTACAATCCGATCAACATTGTTCACCTTTGCCAAACCACTCATTTTGTGTGCCATCCACTTCCCCATCCAGACCAACCCAACTCGCTACCATGTGATGATTCAGCAATCTCACAAGATCGTAATCGTGCGTGTATTCCGTTTCAGGGCCAAAATTAATTATGCTACTGGCGTGGTAGGTGCAACCGTAAAGACCCTGGGGGACTCTCCTAAGGAAAGTTCGGTAGCTACCTTGGGTATCTCGGAAGAATTCTGAGATCTGTGGGAAGATATTGGAAGTGTAACTTGTTACACAATCCAAGTTCGGAGGCAATTCCGCGAGCCAGTAAGTACCACTAGCATGCGGAACGGCCTCTTTGCTTGAAATTGGTGGTGGGTCACTTTTAATGGCCCCAAACATGTAGACACAATCCAGAAGAGTCTCAATAGCACCCGTCTTAAATATTGGTCCAGGGCCTTCTCCGAAGCTGCAGACCGTTCTGTTGCCCGCCGGCGTGTCCTGTAGATCCCATTCCACCACCAACTGAGTGGTAGCATTGCCGCTAACCCATCTTGGGAGGAACCATGTACCGACGAGAATTAATCCAGCCTCTTGTTTGTGAAAAGAGGATATCGACTCAAATTCTGACAGTGAAATCAAATACTTGATGACAAGAGTCCCAACAACATCTCGACCTGCCGTGTACCTCTCCCCACTGTCGTCTCGAGTCCTTTGAATCGGGAAAAAGCCTGCGCTATCACTGGCCCACGGCTTACGAGGGTCATAAACAGACGAATTACCGTTGTTGGGTTCGAAGATTGCGCGAAGAATATCCTTGCTCGGGATAATATCAAGCTTTGGGAATGTCAGCTGGATTAAGAGGCTTTGGCAACCCGATGACCCGTCAAAGACAGGCTTTAGTAGCAGCTTCACACTAAGAAGAGATGGGATCTCTTCCATCGTTCCCATTTTGGCGCACACTATCAGCAGATGAGAAGATAAATCGAATATAACTAATCTGGTCGCAAGAAGCCGGGGTATCAATTCGAATGTCGCAAGTGAGATATCTCTTTAAATGCTCCCAAAGGCTGAAGAGATAAGAGGATCAAAATGCCACAGTGTCTTTGCTTATCGTCCCAAAGACTGTATAGGAGTGGTGCTAGAGCAATCCTAAGGTGTATATGTGTCTATCTGGGTAATGAATCCGAGTGCAAGCCATGCTTGATGATAAGATCCCAGTGTTCTGTAGCATGTTCATGCGAATTGAGGGGTCCTCTGTCGCATTGGATTTGATTGGTGTGTTGTGGAGGTGTGGGTGACGGGCGCTTGAGTCACTCACACAGCCTGCGAATCACAAAGAGCTTGCAATAATAACAGATGTCTATTTCGACATGTTGATTGAGGGGTTACAAGCTTCCCGGAAATGACAATCTTGTCTGAGCCAACTCTTCTTCTATCTGCTCCCTAGGAGGCTTTTCCATTTAACATCATTGTTCTATTTATTGAAACAAGGTAGAATTACCAACCGGATTACCAGGTTCGCCAGTCACGATTTCCACCTTGGATGCAGTAGACAACCATAATTAATTCAGCTCGTCCCACTTTCAACATTCTGATACATAGCCCACCCCACCCAGTTCAAAACCTGGCGCAAGGAAAGGTGGTTGTGCATGGTGTGTCGTACGAGTCCCGTTTTTATTGTGCCCATGCGTAAAGAGACGGACACGATTTCAGGGTGACGGCTGGTTAACTTTCCTGCAAACAGTATATCGGGAGCCTTGAACGCTCCATGTCGCTCAATAGACCGCTCCTCACACAGCTTACTAGTACACATGGCTGTGTCAAAGTCTAGGAGCCATTGTGTATCCACTTGGCGCCAGGGTTACAACCTGAACAACGACTTTGTTACTGATGGCTATTTGGGATGAGATGGGGATACGTCATGAGGTAGAAATGGTGTGATTTACTCCTAGCTGCATCTCAAATTTGTCCTTGCGTTCTGTCTGGAGGTGATGCCATGACTCCAGCCTCCGAGATAAGCACGGCCAGCCTGTCGGTGGTTGCAATGATCTTGTTGGCAGGGGTTTTGATAGATGAGAGCGAAGAGAGTTCCAGCGCTGAATGTTCAGTCCCGACTTGCCGACTTATCTGGAATTTCTATTGAAGTTATAGCATCTTAAGCCTTGACCTCTGTTGTAGAGGCTAAACATATCCGTTTGGTGCCGTGCATCGATACGTGGAGCATCCCAAAAAGGCACGGCTGTTGCTCATATCGCACGTATGATAACAGAATTGGAGAAAGACGGCTTGCATACAAATTTCTATCTATATGCAGATTTATTTGAAAGGGAGCCTTCCAATGATGCCCGAGTAGCAAGATCCTTAAATGTACTAGTCGTCCTTGGGGAGGGATAGTGAAGAAGAGGGAATCTCGAAATCCGACACTTTAGCTCCGGTCTAGAGACACTTATTACTCTTGTTTTTCGATAAGGTTGAAACTCAACCAGATTACCTCTCGAATGCTAAATAATTCATACGTCCAGCAAGAGCAGACATAAAGGGTCAAGGATACATGCTCATAGAGCAAAACACATTGGCATTCGCTGTATAGATACTTTACTACCAATGGACTTTAGGCAGAATTTCCCAAGAGTCCAATTGGACGTCGATGATCTTCAGGCGAGGTTGAACGCTAGACAGCAAAGCACCTCACTATCGATAGGCCACACCTTTTCAGTGACCTTGGCGTGGCGGTGCCGCTACAAGTTCCTAAGCGAAGGATGTGCGGGGACTCTGGCCGGTCCATTCACAGCGCTCATGGGTGGTGGCTGAGGCACCCTCCCTGATTGTTAAGTGACCTCACTCGGTGATCAATCTAGAGAAGCTGAATGGAGCATGACTCTCTCAGTGGCTAGACCCACGGTGTCTGACCATATAATGGGCATCAATGAACCCATGTCCGTTTTGCACACTCTCCAGCTAAACTTTCAAAATGTCGTCGATACTCGAAACAAGCCTCCTTGGTGCTGCTCTTGCAGCGCACCAGCAACACTTCTATTCTAATGACCTCGTCAAGCAAGAATGCCGATCCGGCCATTGTTGCAAAGCCGGCCATCAGAGATGATGTCGCCATGGCCGTGGTTGAGGTGCCTTTAACCTCGTCAGGCAACCAAGAAGAACAAAAGACATCCATAACACGGCATGCAACAGGACGTATGGAAGCAGCTAGGTTGAGCTTTGCCGAAGGATCATGCTCTTCGTACCCACCAAGTCCACCAAGTCCAAGAACTCGACCTGCAGGACCTCGCAAGTTTCAATCCTCACCTGTGCTCCTCCCCGACAGCTCAGTACCATCAAGTCGCAGGAGGTCGTCGTTGGTATGGCTAATTCCCATCGCGCTGTGGAGACCTCGTCGCATCGGCAAATGGCGTTCGCCAGTGTTGATGGTCTTGTTCTTCTTCATTGGCCTTGCCCTCAGCATAACACACTGTGCGTACTACCCCAGCCTTGCTGGAAAGATCGTTGGAAGTCCGCAGAGCCAAGAGAAGAATATTCAGTGAGTAGCCTATTAATCAACTTAGAACCCGTCACTGATTATTGCAGAGTTGGTACAGCGTGTTCGTTTCTAGCCCAATTGGCGCTTACAGCTAGTGTGTGGCTGTCATATTTCCAGTGGCTCTGGCGGACAATGCAAAGATCCCAGTGGACTGTGAGGGGTCTCAATAAAGCTTTTAGTGTTGATACTTCACCAATGTCAATACTGAGTCTTGAGATGTTTCGCAAGTTCACAATCGGATCCGTCATGGCTTTCTTTGCATGGTAAAAGCAAATTCTAATCGTATATCAGTAAATGGCTTCCACTGACTGTCAAGGTGTTTAATACTGCCGCCCTTCTTCACGCCAGCAACCCTCTTTGTCTATCCTAGCATGGAGGCCGTCGAGGTCGTGATACAAGTCCCATATCTTGCCATCGCTCACAGTGATGCCGGGAGTAAATTCGCATATTCTCCACCAATGAATCAAAACACGACCAAATTCAAAGATGACGTTAGCAGGACATTCACGGGTCCGAGGACAGTTTTGTCCTTATTGTCCACGGCAACAGCATCTCAAGGCAAGATTCTATCAATCGCGGCTCCATACAACCACTCAAGCTACTCTATTGGTTTTTACGGCCCCATTGTTCAGTGTGAGACTGCCAATCGATCGACAGTTATCCTGATCGACAATTTTCTTGACGAGATGATGGCTGAACCAATGGGGACCGCCAAGGCTGCTGAAAGTGCCTACTTTGCCTTCGTCCCTGCCCGGAATGCAAGTGGCAATTTGATAGCGCTTTCGGAACAACGGCTGCAGGAGCCTTCAAACGCAACGAATGAGCTCTGGTTCACATTTGAAAGATTCGTGGTGGATGCTGCAGGCTCTAAAGACACAACTAGATTACACCAGGTGTGCTATCTTTACAACTCCACATATGACTTACAGCTCGAGTGGGATAAAGGAATCCAGAATATTAAGGGGTCTTACCAGGTGCGAGAAAAGATCTGGTTTCCCCAAGACAAGCTTGGCGATGTATCAAACCTAGCACAACACGCATACTCTGCTCTGTTCTGGAGTATCACAGATCAAGTTGTCGGGTCATTTACTTGGTATCAGGAGACTGAAACACCGAGTCCATGGCGGCCAGCACAATTTGGAGGCATTGATTCAGCTATCGCACACAACAGTCTGCTAGGGAGCTCTGATCTCGACGTTTTCTTTTGGCTTGATGAAAAATATCGCCTATACAAGGACGATAACGAGACCATCCTCTCGAGCCAAAGATTGCAAGACAAAGCACTTGCAAGGAACCGCACGCTTGATGTCTTGATTGAGGAGCTGAGTTTCAACACCACCGTCAGCTTGCTTCAGAATGGGCTCTTGACGTTAGCCATCTCTCATCGATTTTCTTTTTCACCTTCATGGGCGATTTACTGACAGTTTCTCCAGATATAATACTACAGCCAATGTCACCAAATGGGAAGATGTCAACCGATATGGCTACCTTCCCGATGGTCTCTTCATTCCATACGCTCTTGCCAACCTGTTTACACTTGTTATCGTTCTTCTAGGACTCTACTCGTATAGGAAGGACGGTGTTCTGCGCGAGAAGAAGTTTCAGGATATTGCCAGTGCGGCAGAAGACCCAGAGGTAGTCAAGATTCTCAGAACAGACCCAGTCAACGGTAGGCGTCCAACTGTAACTTTGGGAGATCTTGGTCTTCGGGTTGTTCCGGAGACAACAGCATAGACGCGGTCCCGATTCAAATTTTCAATGGCTCATTAAATAGGTAAGAAAATGATAGACGTAAGATGCGCATTTAAATACAATAGCTCGTGTTTTTGTATACGAAACTCTTTTCGGGTCATGTGTCATGTCTTCATTATAGGCAGCGCCAAGCCTACCCATACGCCCTACTAATAACATAAGCCCAGATTGCACTTGCGATATATAAGAAAACAGGTTCAATAACTCTACTTTATGTCAGGAGCAAGAAAGCAAATGCCGAAGGGAAATCTTAAGCTAGCAGCCGTGCAAGCAGCACCGGTGTTCCTCGACAAAGAGGCAACAACACAGAAGGTTTGCGCTTTAATCCGTGAAGCAGGCCACAATAGAGCAGACGTGGTTGACTTTCCGGAAGGTTTCATTCCTGGCCATCCCGGCTGGGTAGAGGCCATTCCTCTCATCGCTAAGCCCGCGCCTTCCCTGTTCTGTGAGCTTTTCAACCAAGCCGTTGAAGTGCCAGGCCCAGAGGTCGAGGCCATAGGAGAGGCATGGAAAGAAGCCGGCATCTATGCAGTTGTCGGAATCAACGAGCGCCGCGCTGGCACAACCGGTACCCTGTTCAACACGCAACTGTTCTTTGGCCGCGATGGTGCTTTACTACACAAGCATCAGAAGCACGTCCCAACCGTTGGAGAGCGTCTTGTGCATGCTCCTGGCCAGACAGGGAGCAAGGCATCTGTTCCAACAGACTTTGGCTGTCTTAGTGGGCTTATCTGTGGTGAAAACGGCAATCCACTAGCTCAGTACTCTTTGAGTTTGGATTATCCTGTGGTACATGTTGCCTCCTGGCCGCCTCACTTCGGGCCGGGATCCGATGTTCAAGGTGCCAGCAATCTCTTCACAAGCGGGCTAGCAACATCGCTAGCTTGCTACGTGATCAACTCTGTGGCAGTAGTCGGAGAGGATATCATAGCAAAATACGCTCTCGACGAGGAGACTCGCGATCTCTTGCGGGACCAAATGCAAAAGAGCCGAGGATCAATTATTGGGCTTGGGGGAAGGGTCCTAGCTGGCCCCCTGTCAGTTGGTGAGGGAATCTTGTATGCGGACGTCAATCTAGACGACCTCATCAAGTTAAAATACGGCGTCGACTACGCTGGGCATTATAATCGGCCAGAGTTGTTTGCACATCACTTCGCAAATTACTTCCGCAGAGATCCTCATAGCATCGAAATCACAGGACAAAAGGACACTCCTAGATCCGATCTTTACCGCATCCATCTCAATGCGTGTGAAGGTCTGCTTACTAGGGAATATAGTTGCGATACAGACTAGCTGACTCTTGATTCACGCAAATAGTTTCAGAGATCTCTCAGTGACTATGTAGACTTCGATTCTGGTTGCCGAAACCAACGTCACGGCGAGACGCCGGAGTGGCTTATACATGGATGCAACAAATGCAACACTAAAGGGCTTAACACTCGTCATGCCCAACAAGTCAATTGATATTGACAACCCCAAGCCATTTCTCCAAGGCTCGCTCAATAGTTCGCTGGGAAACACAGTCAATATTTCCCGTGGACATGTTGTCCGGCATTCAGAGTTTTATCGTAATATCTCGCTGCTCAGCTGCATCGGTGCCAGTAAATACCTACAACCGAATTTGGCTTGGGAGCATGTTAGGTACATTAATCATCTCGATGGAGTGGCAATAACGCACCTATCACCTAGGTGTCGCCGCTACTTGACGCGCAAACTGTAACGTGGAACAATTCCAAGGACATATATCGTCCAGCTCATTGTACTCTGCTACAACCGATGCACATCCCACGGTAGCGCACACAGTTGTGTGCAGCCACTGCCCAACGCAGCCGCAGCTATATCTTTCATACAGATGTTGACACATGTGCAGTACTTTTCTTAATTCGTTGATTTCTTTAAAAATTCCGCTATAGTTTAAGGCTTTAGTGTTTGATAACAACTGTCGTGAGATAGTAAAAGTCCCATGAGTTGTAGCTAAATACATAGCTTTATGGTGACTACCGTTCTCGCCTCCCAACGCCCCCGCTCAGTCAGCATCACAGCCAAGCGGCCAGAAGCTTCCAGAGTGCATCGAGGCACCCAACATCATTTCGAACCTCTCAAAAATTGTAGACGTGAGGGTATCATCTAGTTTTCACCGTAATTCTATGAGACAGATGACTAGCAGGGAAAGAAAAAAGAAAGGTAAAAAAAAAAACCCTTAGTGCACTCAGTATCATTCCGCGATGTCCCCGATTTTATCTGAAAAATTGACATCTTGCGGCATATCCACACTGGTTGTAATCTCAATGCCTTTGGAGCTATACAGAGGAAGCGCTAAACGGACGCCCTTGATCGATATGTTTCCTGAACGAATTGACAATCCGGAAAAGATCTTCGCGACTGATGGGGGCATTGGTGCCTGACTGTGAAGCAAAGTCCCCTTCAGAACGAGGAGGAAATCGTTTGCTAAAGGGAGGAATGTTCCTGTATTAAACAAGATGCGACAGGCTCGAGTAAAGACCTCGGTTGATGCAGTAGAGGTGCCTAAACCACCGATAACAGACTCCGCAGCGGAGAAGCAAGCCTGCATGAGCCAGTACTCGTGGCGCGGTCCGAACGTAGCGCGATAAGCCCAGATATTGGATATCAGTGTCATGGCATGTGTCAATCGTAAAGTTGATGCGGTACCGTCTATACCGAACATCCAGGTAACGCCATGCGCGAAAGGCCCCAGAAGCTTGAGAATTGCCATGTCAAACGTGGTACTGTGAAGCGTTGAGACATAAATTAGTCCAAGAAGGAAGCCAAAAAGAAAAGCTGGCTCGCACTTACTGTAGAAATACTACTGATGGAAGAATATTACTGAATGCCTGGAGATTATCAGGTAGAAGGGCCTTCCAATCAGCCATCTTTCGGTAAAGCTTGACGGCGCCGTCGTAATCCGGAACAAGCGCCTGTCCTGTGTTGGAGCGAGAGGCAACGAGAGACAGTACCTGCTCGATCAACTCGGCCAGAACGCACTCAGCTTGAAAAGCCTCCTGAGACAGCGAGCATCGAGGAAGACTGGAAAGAGGGTAGGGCGACCAGAGGTGGATTGTCATGTCGGTATATGCCAAAAATTGCGCCTCGTTTTCAAACATCTTGATTATTCTGGGCTTGCTAACGTGAGATGCTTCCACAAATGCCAGCGAAAGTTTCCTTGCGAACTGTTAGCCATATTTGGCAGGCAAGAACGACTGCACGAGACATACGTTAATAGAGAATAGAAACCCCAACATATGCATGAGATTGCGTGCCATTTCCGTTGCGCGGCTGGTTCGGCCATACGAGTCCCCGTGGGTATAGTGGTTATGCTGAGACCTAAGCATTCATGGACATGATACAGCTCGTTGAGGAGATCAACAGCCCGAGATTTTTTGCCACAATTTCCTTCATATACCCAAAGTAGTGCAAGGCCTTGTACAAGAGTAATCGATTGGTAGTTACGCTCGGTCTCCAGGAGCTGAAGTGCCTCGTCGGCAAAGGCTCGGCTGTGGTCAATGGGTGAGCCTAACAGGTTATCTTGTTTATAGTATATCTGCAATTGATACCTGTTATCATTTGGTATCTTCTCCATCGGTTTGGGTCATCTTACCGAAGCGACGGCCATTAGTGAGTTGACTAAGAACTGCGAGCAAAATCGCACTTCTACATTTGGATCTCCTGTGAGATCTTCCAAGAACATGGTCCTGTCTACAACTCGGCAAAGTGTATGATCCCAAGTCCAAAATAAGTTTAGCAAATGTGTTAAGTGCTTATCATCCTGCGATACTGATGTCCATTGCGAGAGGGGTAGGGCCCCTATAGGAAGGCCATTATAAATGCTGCTGTTTCTGCTCGAGTCGCTGCTGAGGCTAACCAGGAAATGTCAGCAGTGCGACTTCTTTGGAGATGGATTGGAAATTGAACCTTGCGCTGAGTTCTCGAATGTCAAAGGCCGATGACTCTAGAATGGGAGTGAGCCTAGGTGCTGTATTAAATTGTTAGACGGCAAAGCCTGTCGTTTTCTCTTTCTCATTCCGAAAGTATAAAGCTTACATGATCCCTGTGGAGAACTGAGCGCGGGCAATAGCAGGTTGGCGTCTGCTATCAAACCGACAGCATCATCTAGAGTACTAGCTTCGCGGATACTTTTCAATATCGAGATGGATTCGACATCTGACCTTTGACGTAGCATCTCAAGTACGGTGCGCAGATTCGAAGCCTGTTCTACTTGTTGTTTCTGGGACTCACGCGGCGTCATGCCTTCCGGTACAGGATACCGGCACTCGACATTACTGTTCATGCATTGCGAGCAGGCAGGGCGAATGCCATCGCACTAGAAGACTTAGTATTTCAGTTCGGCCGCGGGGTCAGGACAGTACGAACCCGGACTTTGCGTTTGCGACAGCCTGGAAGATACAGTGAGACATGATTGATTTCGAGTGTATACATTAAGAGAACTCACCTTCACAAGCTGCCAGAGCCTTGTCGCGCTTCCGTTTCAGCGGAGCAGTATTCTCTTGGTTGGAATCAGACCCATTGGGAGCTTTGGGCTTGGGTAGGAGCAGGCGTGCTTTCTTTGCGGCGTCCATGTGTATACAAGTTCGCGACCGGGCCTGGGATTAGAGATTCAGATAATAGCAGCCGAAAAGGGTCAAGTCTATTGTTGCAGGATCGGCATGAAGGGAACAAGGCTGAACGTGAAGAGTCGTTGGTGAATTGCCCGCATTGATATGGAGTGACGTTCGAGCATCTCTACGTCATTTTGTCGCAGAGCCCGCGCCCAATAAGCAGTAAGGTTGCAAGCTCCGGAACAGATGTCCGAAGGTCGAATTATTCGCCCTTTGCCACTACATGTTATTTTAGTGAAACAAGTCTATTGAACCTGATAGTATAATAAATTTAGTAGAGTTGCGGCACATTAAATTGTCAATAACACTCGCCTGCAGTGGTATCTGTCAACATCGCACAGACCATGTCTGTGGTAGTCAAGCGCCCAGATAAGCGCGATCCGAGAGATTAAAAATTGTAACGATTTAATAAGGAATTTTGCGAATGACACAAAGAAGGCATTCAGTTTTAGAAAACCGTACAGGTAGGGGGAAGGTGAGATGCAAGGCCTGTGTGACCTGGATTGCCAAGCGGCGCACGCCCCCGGTGTTATCTGGCGGCTGGTCCGTCAGCTTTCCACACGGATTTTGCAATCTTCTCAACCTCTATGCCCTTAATCCAGGCTTTACGGATGCGCCTGGTGTTCGTAATGTCTTCCAAGGGGTTGCCTTCGACAAGAACCAGGTCTGCGCGTCGGCCAGATTGCAGCAGTCCGCGATCACGCAACTTGAAAGCCTCAGCCGGGACGGTTGTTGCCGCCCGTAAAGCGTCTCGATTGGATAACCCTGCTCGAACAAGCAGTTCCATCTCCTCATGCAGACTCTTGCCAATATCCACAGGAACCCGGTTCATCTGATTTGCATCTGTTCCGGCACATATACGGACTCCAGCGTTATAGAGCAGCTTGACAGACCGTAATGCATTATCGAAATCAACTTCTGCCTCGCTAGTCTCTCTCATAAGTACCACCATTCGGCGCATAGCGCAAAGGGTTGGTACACAGACTACATTCCTTGCAGCAAGTGTCCGGACTGTCTCTTCATCGAGCTCGCCGTCGATTGGCACGTGGATGAGGACATCAAATCCTGCGCGAATGGCACGGTGATAGCCCTCTGCAGTTGTAGCGTGGGCAATGGCCTGCAGCCCTTGATGATGTGCCGCAACAACGAGCCTCGCAAGCACCGCGTCCTCAAGCCCCGGGGCATCCGTCACGGCCTTGAGGTAGTCTGCACGTCTTGGGCCATGGACGCGTCTTGCCACAAAGTTGTCGGCCTCGGCCTCCGTGCGCACCATTTCTGTGTCCCGAAGTGAAAATTGACGTACTGTCTCGCTGTCTGGGTCCGCCGCAACGGTTCCCGTAGCGAAGTATGATGGTAGACCTGTTTCGTCAGCTGATGCGGTTCGCATAGCCTGGTTTTCGGCCGTGGTGCTACTCTACGTTAGTCACTGTTAGCATGTGTGCAACGTTTTAGATAGAACTTAGGGAAGACGGGAAATAGTCTGTAATCAATGTTGGTGAACCACTTAGTCAAAAGCCGTCTTTATAGTATGCATTCCTGGTTCCAATATGAATCCGGACTGCAGTGACTAGATGCTGAAGAATGCCACTCACCATGTCAACGACCGTAGCAATTCCAAATGACGCAAAGATGTGCAGGGCTGAGTTGACAGCTGCGGCATCAATATGGCAGTCGATGAAGGCGGGGAGCAGGGTACAGCCAGTTCCATCGATGATGCTGTCGGTGTTTTCGAGAGACATGTCATTCATGATCGCTCCTGGACTGGCTTCGAACCGAATGGTTGATGAGGGCCTGGCCTCGTCGTCTTCAAAGAGAGTGGCATTTGTGACTGCCAGAATAGTCATCATGGGAGGAGGGATGGTCGAGATCTATCGACTAGACGTGGAGTAGTCGTACGGGGTGGTGTGCGTCTCTAGACTCTGGCTGGGCAAGGTTGTGCCGGGTTTTTGCTTGGTGAGTCTTCCCGCTGGTTTGACTCTACGGACTTCCAATACAACTCTATGTAAACATGCAAGTACCTTGCAGTAGCCGCCAGATCAATGTTAGTTTGCGAGTCTTGTGGTGTGCTGGGTAAGTCGTCTGGTAGTCTGGGGAAATGTTGGGGGTTTGTCGCGCGTCGAGTTGAGACAGTGTTCTTCTTCTATGGATGATTATTGTCTTGCTTGCTGGGGTACCTTTGGCAAGCTCTAGTAAGTCAGGCAAGGTTGGTTGTGTTGTGTTGTGTCAAGTCAAGTCAAAATGAGGTAGATGGGGAAGTGTCTTGTCGTTGGTCTCTATGTAGACACGACTTAGCTTGCCTTACCTGATCTAAATGCGCATGTGTGGAGTGGCCTGGACGACCGACGACCGACCCAAGCCAAAATGTTCGAGGCTTTTGGTCACATGTACGTCATTGTTATTATTCAAGGGCTCTTGCGCCTCGTAATTCTTGAGAAGCATCGAGCTGCGCTCCAGGAGTCACTCCTATAAGCAATAGGCGTGCAATCAAAGATACACCAGCGCATCAACACTTGCAAAGTAGACGTTTGCAGCATCGGCATTATTACGTGAGCGCAATCATGTTCGTGCGGATCGCCTGTCAAATCTCGCCGCCCATGCTTCCGACGATGTGATCTTTGCCGTTGCCCAATTGGAGGCTTTCTTCACGACGGAAGGTTGCTTGAAACCCGCCGAAACAGTGGGAACGAAAATCCCATCGCTTTTGATCAAAATATAGAGAAACTTGTTTAAGAACTCAAAAAGGTGTGACGCGGCGGAAGATAGATATTAATGTGGAGGAGGTTAGGCAAGTGATAGGCCTGTCCGGGTCGGAGGCCACTCCCGCATAATCGGCCACAATGGTTGGACAGAAGGGCCGAGCTACCCTCACAAGACAGCCAGCCTCTTCTAGTCACCTGCATTCTTCTTCGAGGTTCGTTCCCTGACTGGACTGGTCTGTACTATCAAGAGACGACGGAAAATACACAAACGATTCTAGTGTTGGCTATCAAGGAAGTCTGTTGATCCCACTACTCTCTGTTGAGATCTGCTAGCTCGACACACAGGCACCCCTACAAGGTTCGAAAATGAATGTCGCACGACAAATGACAAGCTTGTGGACAAGAACGAATCTTCCATCTCATACAAGTACCTAATCTACATGCCAAAGCGGGCCATCTAAAAGCCGTCCAAAGTACCAAATTCCAGACCATGCTTCTTGCAGGTCAACGCCATACGCAAATCATCAGTGACCCCCTAAACACCACTCCTAGCAGCGAGATCCCGTACAGCTTCAGCCATGGCAGCGGCGTACTCTAGGCAAATCTCGCAAGACTGTGTTATTGCAATGAAGGGGCCATCCACGTCGACTTCTTAAACCTGGCGCAAATCCCCATAATGTAGATTTTTGGTCCACCGGGGTAGCTTCCGATCACGCTCGTACATAAAGCCGCAGTTATTGCAGAGGCTCTGTTTTCAGGTAACGTTAGTGATCAGTCGTCGCAAGTGACGAGGCCGCGTAGGTCATGACTTACCCTCGCCCCGTACGGGCCATCTCTGACTGCCCAGACGCTGCTTCCCCAGACCCTACAGTGGCTGCATCGCCAGTTCAGTCGTTCCTGCTCGGTGAGTGTTCCACCACCGCCATAACCACCGCCACCTACGTCCGGTGTACCTCGGCCGCCGGGTGTTCCCGAGCGAAGGGGCGACAAGCTTCGGAAACGCTTCTTCTTCTTACTTCGCTCGCCTCTGCCCATTCGCTCTTCTTCTTGCTCAATGAGACCACCGAAGCCAAAGCCCAGCGGCACGCCGCCCAGCATGCCTGTATTACTGCTGAATCTCGCTGTTTCTCTGCGCAATCGTCGGATTTGTCTCTCGCGATCGCCCTCCCTCTTCTCGATCTCTTCCTTGGACAAGACCTCAACCTTTGGCTCCCACTCATCTGCCAGCTGTTCGGGATCGTAACGCCAGCCAGCGCCTTCGCCGCCCACCGTCATCAGCGCATCGTTAGGGAACTCTGCGCCACCGACAGCCCCGGACCCCGCCCAACCAGCTACTAGGCCACCAGCTTCGCAAGCCTCCTTTTTCAGACGCAAAACCGCCTCGTAGATGGCGTGCGTCAGAGCAGGAATCCATTCACCTGTAAGTCCCAAGTCGGCGCATGTCTGCTTCGCAAATGCCTCCGCCGTGCCAGGTGGGTGCAAGAGCGACCACTCGAACTTGTCTGTGTAGAGCTGGTTGGAAAGGTTGACGTTGAGGTTGATGATGCAGCGGTAGGTGTCATCCGGATTGTGTTCAGTGTCATCTTCCTCGGGGTCGTCCGAGATGAGCGTAGCTGTAGCCGTGACCTCTGGCACACCAACTTGCACCGGCGCTGGTGCAGAGACCGAGCCTGGAACCGGCGTTCCTGGGCCCAGCTTGGACGGCGTAGATGGAACGTGTGGTAAACCGTTTCGTGGAGTGTCCGCGCGACTACCACCTGCAGCAGGAATTGGTGTCGAAGAATCGCGACCGCCGTTTGCGGCAGGTTTAGGCGCCTCAGGAGCGCTGCTCTGATGTTGTGAGTGAAAGAGCGGGTGTAGAGCAACTCCAGCATATTCCTCTAGCTGCGTTCGGATCTGCTTGCTGATCTCGGCAATGATGGTATTGCGATTTGGGAGGTCGAGGTCCTGGACCAGTGTCGTAGCGAACTGGTCGGTGGTGATTAAAGTCTCATGGAGATTCCACAAGAATGTATCCTTCAGTCTGTATGGCACTGTCGTCTCGGGGGTCTTGTACATGGGGTTTGTAGGATCGTATCCGGGCTGATTCGGCATAGGGATGAAGGGAGGATTGGGCGTAAAGGCCGGAATGTCGACGTCGATCCGGATCGGAATAAGGGTGAGTGGAAGACAGGCCTGTGCATAGTTCTGCATATCTGACTTGGAGTTCTTGCTCTTGATCATCCAGTCTCTGAATATTCCTTGCATCTCTACCGGCGACGACGTCTCCTTACCAACCTTGTCAGTTGGATCTATCTTGGCCGCGCTATCGTCCCTTCGCAGACTTCGAAGGCCAGTGGGTCGCCGTCGGCTATCATCGTCGTCGTCATCATAGTCATCGTAACCATCCTCAGCATAGTTGATAACGGTGGTACCACGCTTTGTGGTCCTTGAGAGGGGCCCAGATGGTGCAGCAGAGTGGATATTGGGGGTCAAGAATGAGTTGTTGTAGACTCGTAGGCGAGGCGCATACGAAGACGTAAACGCCTGGGGTTGCGATCTTGCCGCCATCCTGATGACTTGCAATCCAGATGTGGATGATTTTACTGCCTAGCGCATCCCAATCGAATCATGAAACAGGCGTGAAAGAAGGGACGCAGGCTGAAGGCCTCGCAAGCTTGAAGTCGAGGCTGGTAGAGCTGCCCTGGTCCGCGAGTGAGATGGGGCCGTCAAGGGACCAATGGCCTGCACTGCCTAGCAAAGACTGTGTTGTACAGTCAGATCTCGTCGGCACCAGAGTTCAGGCTGTTTGATCAAGCTGTCGGCTCCAATTTGATGAAGTTAGTGAACAGATTGTCGCAGGCGCACACTTGGAGGTTTGCATTTTTGCAGTCGCGTCAGCTAGGTTCACCTGTCGCGAATCTTTCTGTCCAAAGCACAGACCATGTGCTAAACTAATCTGGCCAAGTACCACCTCTGCGCCAGTGCAGCCAAGCTAAGGCAATGGTGGCAACACCTGGCAAACAGCTGTCAACTCCCCTCCTCCAACCTATGGCAGTCGCAGTCTTATCTTTCTGGGGTGGCTCTTTCCTTTGTGGTCGACACTCTCAGGTAGTTCTCATCATGGGTTCATCGCCATTTAATCACATTTCCTAAATATTGTCGAAAGCCCCATTTACTCACATATTTCTGATTTGATTCACCAAAGAAATCTCGTGTGGCCTTTTTGCCATGGACCACTCAAATAGGAGCGTTTGGTGGTCGGTACAGCACACCATTGGGAAAGGCCCAAGCAGGCAGCTCGCACCAGGCGATGCCACTGAAATGAGCCACTCCTCGGATCCGATATATGATCGGCATTTCTTCATATCCAGCGCCACAAGGCCATTGTACACCCCTTGTTTGGATCTGGATGAGTGTTTGGGGCATTTTCTCAATACGCTCTTACTTCGACATCACAATGAAGGCGAGTCCAGTCATTTTTGCTGGCACAAAGATCTGAATCAAGCAAGTAAGCAAGCAGGAACTTCCAGCTTTGCATCATTTCGCCGCATTGCCCTGCATCAATCTTATTACTACCCTGTGTCTTTCTGGCAAAACAATCGGGACAGACCTGCCTACCTCCTCTGCAGCAAGTGTAATAGGTCAAGGTTCAACTGGATAAGCTCACTTGGCTCACTTAATATCGCCAGCTAAGCACGCTATTGCACAACCCCACCACCCCATATGCGGATGCAGGCCGGCGAACATAGCGTCCCCTTGAGGCCTGCCGCAGACCTTCCGCCTTCTGCTTAGCTCCCGTTGCCATCCTCCAAGCTCCAGCTCCTTGCACGGAAGGTCGTATTGTCCTTCTCGGGATTCCAGGCTGCCTTGCGAGCATTGCCCTGCCAAAACGCGTCAACCAGACCTCGGACTAGTCAGCTCTCAGCAGACACAGGTCCGGATCCACGGAAAGCTCCTGCTCACCTTCCTTACCCTGGCTTGCCTGGCACGGCACAGCAAGCAGTAAACAGGTGTGATCGGCCGCCCGGAGGAGAGCTTCCTCTCCTGCTATATACCCAGCACGGCCCAGCTGCCGCCGCTCCCAGGTAAGTGCCATTTCCTTTCTCATCCTCAAGTCGACGCGCCTGGTCTGGGAAAATGGGGTTCAAACAGCTTTTTACCGCGTCGTTGGGCCTTCTGGGCGGATGCGAGGCCCTCAAAACACACTTCACCATCAAGGAGCTGAAGGAGGTCGCTGCGCTCGATGCCGAGTTGAATGCAAAGTACAGCACCCGCGACACGGACCCGTCATTGCTCTATCCGGCTCGGTACTTGGACGTGCCAATTGACCACTTCCACAATGACTCTCTGTATGAGCCGCATACCAATGAGACCTTCAAGCTGCGCTACTGGTTCGATCCAAGCCACTACAAGGAAGGCGGCCCTGTCATCGTCCTGCAGAGTGGCGAGACGTCTGGCGTAGGAAGACTTCCGTTCCTACAGAAAGGCATTGTTGCCCAGCTAGCTGAAGCTACTGGTGGACTCGGAGTTATTCTCGAACACCGCTACTACGGCACAAGCTTCCCCGTCTCTGATCTCAGCATCGAGAGCCTTCGGTTTCTCACCACCGACCAAGCTCTAGCGGACATGGCCTACTTCGCAAAGAATGTCGTGTATGAAGGACTAGAAGACTTCAATCTCACAGCCCCAAATACTGCCTACATTGCATATGGTGGCTCCTATGCCGGCGCTTTTGTCGCCTTCCTGCGAAAAATATATCCAGAGATATACTGGGGCGCTATTAGTTCGAGTGGCGTCACAGAGGCAATCTGGGACTACTGGCAATATTTTGAAGCTGCGCGCCTCTTTGCTCCTGGAGATTGCGCTATCACGACGCAGAAGTTGACGAATGTGATTGACAATATCCTGATTGGAAAGAACGGCACGGAGTGGGTTGACAGAATCAAGACCGTCTATGGTCTGGGCAATGTTACTCGCAGCGACGATTTTGTTAACTCCATCGACGGCGGTATCTATGGGCTACAGAGCACCAACTGGGACCCGACCCAGAACGACACCTCGTATGGCGAATATTGTGACACGGTCAGCAGCGATTCAGTTGTCTATGCTGGCACGGAGCCCCTCCGCACCGAGGTGACAGAACTACTCGATGTTGCGGGATACGCTGATGAGGCTGACGTTCTTACCAATCGAATGCTGAACTATATTGGGTGGATTAATTCGACTGTGGTAGTCCCCTGCGCTAGTACTGGGGCGAGCCAGGATGAGTGCTTCACCAGCTATGCTCCGGACTTCTACAGACAGGATGACATCTCCCAGACTTGGAGAGCTTGGCCGTGGCAGTACTGCACAGAGTGGGGCTACCTACAGACTGGCTCGGGCTACCCACCAGACATTCTGCCCCCTATCTCTCGACTCGTTGACATTGAATTCTCGACAATCATTTGCCGGGATGCTTTCAATATTTCTACACCTGCGAAAGTCGAGAGGATCAACCAGTGGGGTGGCTTTTACATCTCATACCCACGCCTGGCGATTGTGGACGGTGAGAAAGATCCATGGCGGGCAGCAACACCTCATGCTATCGGCATAAATGAAGACAGAGCCTCAACCATCTCGCAGCCATTCATCCTTATCAAGGACGGCGTGCACCACTGGGACGAGAACGGACTGTTCCCGAACGAGACTACGGCCGAGCTGCCGCCTGCCCCGGTTAAGGAGGCGCAGGCAGCAGAGGTCAAGTTCGTGAAGCAGTGGATGCAGGCGTGGAAGTGTACGAAGACCGGAGACTGTTCGTGCCCAAGTAAGTGATACTAACGAGTATAGCAGATAAGGATCAACTTGAACGGCCAGATGAGCTATAGTGAGCAAAGTATTGGAGCCAGCGAGTCCATCGGAAGGCACATGTATTCGGTACGCAATAGATGGTATAGCAATAGCCTTACACAGCATTGAATAAAAGCATCAATATCTCCAATTACAGGATCTTTGTCCCGTGTCCATCTCGTGTCCTATGTAACCCGTTCGCCTCACTTTTCTATAGACAATACCCGAAGGCGAATGACTCGCAGTATAGAACATCGAATGTGACTCTTCACGTCCGCCAGGACAGCCTTGCAGATCTCAAACTCATTTCAAGGGTCGGTAAAGCAGCACCTGAAGCTGCTGCTGCCGGGACATCGGTTGCCTAGCGCAAGTTCACCGTTAGCTTATATCCTACTCGCTCTGTTCTGAGATTGGGAAAGAAGAAGTCGAATGGTGACTTACGTGGGCCGAGATATTGGCACTCAGATGTCCATTTGCACTCGGTGAAGAATCCGTCGCAGTGATTGATTATACATCCCACAACGTTATTTGGGTCGTTGGGACATGGCCAGTGGTCCGTCTTGCCGGTGACAAGAGTCCCTTTCCACTTCCCTGTGCAGACACCTTTGTCGAGACAGATACAATCTCCGTCCTTATTGAAACTGCCCGAGCAGGGCCCGCCGACGTAGCCGAGTGCCAGGGAGGGTAGCATCAGCATAGGTGACAATTGTGAAAGCTTCATTGTGAGAGCTGCTCTTGCTTGGTATTGAGTTCTTGTTGAGGTGATGCTGTCTTCGACGCAAAGGCCCTTCAGTCTGCAAATATCCGATTTATGTTCTTTGGGCGAGCCATCACGACTATTGAAACCAAGGCACACAAAAGATTGGCAAAGTCAGGATCACACGCTCATCACGTTGTCTATTGGGCATTGTAGTTGAATTACACCGCGTCTTACTTTGCTAGCCATAGCTGATGGTGGCGTTTCATTAGCACTTGCAAATTGCGGCTGCTGAACCGTCGAATCAACAGTGCAGCGTTCCTGTTCCAGGTCTAAAATAAACTCCCCCACAATGCCTGTGACGCATGGGGCTGGGGCTATGTCAAGGGATTCAGTCTATTATAAATACCTTGGCTTTCAACGATCCCTTGGCAACATGTCTCTTATCTTCCAACTGCAAATCTGAAGACCGTCGTATTTCGTATCAAGCTGCTTCTTTCAAGATAACGCATCTTCAAAACCTAGTCAGGCTTTTCTTATGTCTTCATTTTACCCATGCGGGCTATGTAATTAGTGAAGAATGAACGATCAATGGCTTCCGGTGTCTCCTTCGACAGTGATTTTATCTTCCCACCCATCTCTCATGAGATGGATTGCTTGGCATCTCGTATATCTGGTGACCTGCAGGTTCGTACACCACGTGAGGCACGCCCATTTCGTGTCGTAACGGCGTTCCTGTCTCGAACAGAGCTTGACCTTCTTGAAGCTCTTGTATTTGGTCTTGATTGTTGAAGGTGAAGCTGTTCGACATCTCCGGGCCTAGTGGTTCTTTAAATTGAGGTTTTGACTGCGCCGAGCCTATTCTACTCCGTCTCTTCCAGCACCAGACAGATAGGGCTGCTGTAGCAGCAACAGCAGCGGCACTGCCAATAGATATGCCTACAATGACTCCAGATGATAGGGCATTATGTCTTTCAGGCGGCAAAGTCGTAGTTGTGTTCTTGTCATCCTCAGCTGGCAGTACCGTCCACAATGAGGTTCACGAGTTCTCAAACGAGTCAATGGAGTTTTCAGAGATAGTCGTGTCGTCTGGCCCAAATGTCCGCATCACACTTTGATTCATGTCTGGTCCTGGTGCTTTGACCAGATACATAACGTACTTTTCAAAATTGAGCGCGAAAAACGCGGCTTGCAAAAAGGCCCTCCCAAGAACCCACCACCCTTGGGTACTGTTGAAAGGCCTACAAGGGAAGTATGGTGTTGCTTGTCGACCAGTGGGGCATCGAGTGTTAGATTGAGCAGCCGGAAGGGCACCTTGATCGTGATGTTTGTTGCCTCCGTGTCTGAGAGAACGAAACCCATGTACGCAGACGATCCTGTAATACGAGAGTATTGCGGGTCATCCACGTTCCATGGGTAGAGCCCCAGCCCTTCATTCCATGTCACGGGTAGATGGCCTGCGGCGGCTTCGCAAGTACCTAGAGGAAGGTATATATGGCGCCGCTGGATTTGGCTTCACCACTGCTGACCCAAGCTTTCCCCCCTCATCTCTGGTTATCTCTGCCGCTAGTTCATTGTCTCTCAAACCCTGATAGACGCTTCCAACGTCAGTGAGAAGTGGCGAGCCTCCTGTCTGAACTGCCAGCGTAACGTCGAGCAGGAATCCTTTTGGCCCTCGATCGCTCTCGAAGGGAAATGCTTTAACGGAGCCTAACGATTGGTTCTGCTCATATCCTCCGAGGATTAATGATCCTGGTTGATTAAGCGCAGCGCTACCCATGTGCACTGAGAAGAACTCAAACGTCACTTTCCCGTCTGCCTTCAACTTGGGCAGGAACCTCGAGTCGTTGGCCAGGACTTCCGAGTCATTAGTATATATGGAGCTCCAAAGTATGGCCCTAGCCCAAGTATCCCAACTTCAGGTATATAATGTTTGCCTTCAGGATAGAACATCCCCCACGTGTCCATGACAAGTACGCTAGCATTGATCTCGAAGGGAAGTGTGTTATGTGTCGACACGCTGATACTGTCATAGTACTCGAATCCGTCTGAGGTCTCATTCAGGAAGCCAATCGAACCCCAGTCGTCTGCGTAGTTCATGCTGTATCCTGTCTGACTGCTGTGGAGGAGGAGTCCGCCGAGTAATTCCCGCCAACTTTCGACCCCAAAACTTGTGCCATGCCCACACCACTTGGCCAAAATACCATCACAATAGACTTGCAGACAGAATTAGTTTGGCTCACTACATTCCGACCAATGAGGTGAGCTGGGTGAGCCTCGTTACTATAAGCTCACTTTAGGCTCTTTTCTCAAGATATCCAAGGTAATCTCTTTGTAATCAATATTAAAGCTATTTCATTTTATAAGAATAACTAGGGATTTTAAGTAATATCTTACTCAGATATTCTACCACCTATTATCGTATAATACTATTACTCCATTAGTCAAAGGTTAAACTACTTCAAATACAGCTGATCGGTATGTATATAATCGTCAAGGCTCACAGGGGAGCCTTGACAGATCACTAGAAACTCAAATGCATTAGCAGGCTCCTAGATAGACAGACCATTGGTTGACTTAGGAATCTACTTAGTAATAGGATGTTCGTTCATACTAACATCAAAGATTTCGTGCGAGTATACAACAGCTGGTCATGCTAGCATAAATCTTTCAGATAAGTGAAGTCAAGCTTCCCATCGCCCTAAACCCTCTTAATTATATAATTCTGATAGCGTATCACTATTAGGACGTAATAAGAAACAGTACTACGCTCACATTTAGTCTTAAATACGCTCCAGTCATCTTCCAATCTCCCAATTTCGCAAGTCGCGCAAGAGCTCGAGCTAATTTGTCCGCTAAGCATATCTTGAAGTTTTCAGACTCTGGCAATAAAGCAGTAAGAAGAAGTAGTAGTATCTAGATATATTGATAATGATATTACTACTAGATACTAGTTGATATATTAATCTAGTAGACAAATGGGCAATCCGTACGTATATAGATCTCGTGGACTATTAATGAGTCCGAGAGTCCCTTATTAGAGGGCAAAGTAAGAAACTTGTTGCTCAGAGATACGGGAGCTGAGTACGGTGAGATTTGAGGGTTCGTTAGTCCATGAGATACCTGCAGGAAGGGGCCGATGAATTGATGATGTGAGATCATCGTGCAGCTGATAGTCCTCGAGAATACTTCCCCACTCTTCCCTGGCTAAATTAATCCTACTGTTCTGGATATCGCTGCTTGGATGCTCGCCCTGATAAATTTCATAACGCAACTCAAACTCCGAGCATTCGTAATCGCGACGTTTCTCATTTGTTTGAAGGCTTTTGAAGTCCCTACTTTTTGAGTACCAAAACATCTCCCCGTCATCACGCATGGGCTCGTAGTAGTCCAGTGGTTCAACCTCAGTGCTGCTATACTGGCCAAGGAAAATACCAAATGAAGGCGCTGTCTTGACAATTGGGATGTATGATGACCTAAAAAGGTTCAAGACTTGGCTGGCCTCCTTCATCAGAACAGAGTGAAGATATACCAGACCGAAAGAGGTAAATGTTCGTCGCAATGGCTCGGTTTCATCAAACTCGAAATTCATGGGATTCTTTCTTGACAGATACGTAATGTCTGAACTACATGCAGATCTGAAGGTAAGGTCGCAATCCTCCTCTGACTCTTGTTCGCCTGGCTGAGGGTGTGCGGCTTGCTCTTTTCTTGGGTGTCGACACGGGAATGGTTCTTGAAAACATCCGTTCTTTGACAACGCTGCTTCCCAACGAACCTGGAGATGACGCGACATCTCCCGTGTTACTGCGTTCCATGTATCGGAAACATACTCAAATATGGAATCCAGTATCCGAACTCTGCCAGTGGTCAAGGTTCTAAGTATGTCCTTTTGGGCTTGCCAAGAGTGTAAAGGGTCGCCAGGGCGATGTCGAAACATTTGACAGACAAGCTCAAATTGAAGGAACCTTCTCTTAGCTTCCGAAGTTAAATTGGATGGGAGAATGTACTCTGAAAGATCTGGTCGCAAGTCATAATAATTGCACATTGGCATGCAGCAACGTAGCGATGGATGACACCACAGCGGGGTGTGCCCCTCAAAACCACACCTGTCGAAGGATATTTGGTGAACATAGTCGGCCAGAATGGTGGAGATGATTAGATCCAGATGATATAGTTGGGCCAGCTCTCTGGATCCCTGCGGACATGGCGATCCAGGAAATCCGTCTTGATACTGATGATAGAAAGCGTCGATGGTTTCTCTACTCCCTTCGGACGAGTGCGTGAACTTGGGAAATCGCACGACAGCCAACCCTAGTTGAATATTGATTTCATTTCCGAAAGACTCATGGACCACATCGGACAAGATTCGAGTATGCTGAGCACAGAATGCCTGCCATACTGAGCTACATGAATATATTGCGGCCTTGAGATCGGTGCAGCACAGTTCGGAGAGGACGAGCCCGATCACCTCCAGTGGTAAAGCGTTAAGCGTAGACATATTTGTCTTCTTGCAATATGAGAATGGTCAGGAAGATAAGAGAAATAAGAGAAAGTTTTGCGGGTGTCTGGAGACAAAAGACTCGATTCTGTTCAATGAAGAAAAAAAAAAGTCGAATTCACCGATGCGCAATACCTACTGCGGTTAGCTTCCGGCTACCCAGGGACATCTTCAAACTTTGAACCAAGATACGAACAGCACTGGTCACACACAAAGTTTGCTTGTGCTTGCACATCATTTGATGACCAGTGTGGTTATGGATCTAGGCTCTAGTGTCAAAAAGTACATATGACAGAGTGAATGCGTATATATACCAAGCCTCTATGACAAATGAAGTTCACTCTAAGAGTTAGAGCTTTGTCGCAATGCGACGAGCCCCGACGCTCAACTTGAGGTCATTGTCTGTAGTAAGCTGCAGGTTTTGCAAAGCTCTAGGACTAGCCGTACCAAGTGCGAGCTTATTGATTGGGATCTGATCCGCGGCCAGTCCTCTCCACTTCCAGAAGTCAAGGACGTCGTTCTCCTTGCCTTCAATACGGTCCACGACGTACTTCCCTATATTAGGGAAGAACATGAACGCATGTCCGCTTCCACCAGTTGCCACAAACAGCCCCTTCCGCTGCGGCACAGCATCGACAACGAAATGGTTGTCGAACGAGTCGTTGTACCAGCACATGCGTGTGAACGCAATATCGTGGCCTTCCTCGCCGATTTCGGGTAGAAGATCGTTAATCATGTCTCGGATCTTATCCATGGCCTCGCTGGGAATCTGTGTCAGAGATGCTGGCTTAGACCACTTGGTGATCGGAATACTCCTATAAACCTTCTCGTTGCTCTTTTCATCTTTGTTGACGAGTTGCGGGTTAGTATACTTGGTACCACGGTACCCGAACTTGAGGTGCCCAAACTCGTCCAAAGGAAACCCGTACATGCCACCTTCAGTGCCGTCACGCATCTTATAGGTAAACGTAGGAAAGTTACGCGGTGAGAAGCGCTCGTACAGATGTGAGGACTTAGGGATTTTGATAACAGCAACCGAGCCGCCGGTAGTCTCGCACAAGCCGTCGAGTTGGGGCACAATCTGGTTCGTCCAGCCTCCGCAGGCCACCACTGTGAGACTCGCGCGGTGTTTGGTGCCGTCTTTAGTCTCAACACCCACCACCTCACCATTCTTTTCAAGGTAACTAACGAATTCCCCCGCGTCACCAAGCACAAATTTAACGCCCGCCTGCCGGCAGAGGTGTAGTGCTAGGCGGCACACCTTGTCCGCATAGACAAACCCACCCGTGGTATCCAACAATGCTTGATAGAGCTTGCCCCGGACACGTCGATTGAAGGGATCAACGGCGAACATGAAGCCATCGCGACGAGCTTGCTCCACATCTCGAGGATCTGATACGACAACTTGAGACGTCCGCTTGCCGATCTTCTCCATGTTTGCGATAGAGTGCCTCTCAAATGGCGGGAGCTCCATCTGACCGCAAACCTGCAGATTGCCGTTGTTCACCCAGATCCTGTCCTCCTTCGTCATGCCTGGCGGAAGGCCCCGACCTTTAGCCAAGTATTTATTCCAAGATTCCCAGCCTTGCATAGCCTCGAGAGCAATATTCTGGTACACCACTTCCGGACCATATGCGGCTCGGATGATCTTATTCATGTCTAAGGCAAGGTTTGCGGTCAGCGCCTGGTTCCCACATGCCCCATGTAAACGCGGAGGACCTGCCTGCGGAAGCTGCATCGCAGCCATTGAAATAAGAGTACTTGGAATCATCATAAGGCTGTCTATCAATGACTGTTACATGCTTGAATCCTCTTTGAGCTAAGTGAAGGGCGGTGCTGAGCCCAAACACGCCCGCCCCAATGATAACGATAGGGTCATCTCGCCCCACAAGAGCCGCCATGTATGTCGTGATTTTGTATAGTTGCGATGACTTCTGACTCGGCAAGCGTGAACTTTGAGCATCGAGTAACGCTCCAAGACTTCAAATTGCATGTCCCGGCTGCAGAGCCTCGGTATTACTAGTAGAGTGAGCTCATAAGCATGTCTAAATCGTAAGAAGGGGAAGTGAAGTCGTAGGCGGGAGAACCCGAAGCTATCGGAAGAAGACGACCTACAAGTCACCCACTTTTGACGCTAACCTCATCCCACGCCTACTCAGATATGCGGAAGAGATACCTCGGATATCTTCTCTCAATCACTCAACTCAACTGGTCTAAGAGTGGTCAAAATTGACTCTCGATCCTACGACGTCGGGTTTGACTGGGTAGACCCAGGAAACAATTAAAAGTGATGTGCTCTTCTCTACGGAAGCCGTATAATTTCACTTTTAAAATACCATCTATGAAGAGCTATAGTAAACAAATGGTATTTAAAAAACATCCTCGATCTATCGAAGTATCTGGACAGATTAGGATTGGCTGTAGTTTTGGTCCCATTTCAACTCATACAATGTTCCTTACGGACCTGTCCTAACAATCGGTCTAGGCAAGCTTAGTTGACTGCTGTTCTTCGGCTCTCGCCTGTCTCATTAATTGAATGAGCACCTTTGATTTCAACCAGCCCGGTAATGAATTGACTAGTATAAATTGTAGTGCGTGTGGGAAATATCCAGTAACGACAACAAGTCCGCAGCGGCTCGCGCCATGACACGCGCATCCGGTTCCTAACCATGTCGGCGGCTTACTGCCGCTGAACTGCACCCCGCGTGTGGTGCCGAAGAGGACGGTGAGGATATCAACGGGCAATGACTCAAGAGCACAGTCGTGCGCCAGAGTCCACGCTTGAGCCGCCAGAAAGGCCTTAGCAGGCCCATAAAATGGAATCAGCGGCAAACCGATATCTGCGGCAAGCGAGCCAGCCGTGAGGACAAGGGCAGGCCCAGACCGACATAGTTGTGGAAGTAGACGGGAGAGCAGTACGGTCGGAAACACGGCATTGAGCATGATGATTTCAACGATTGCGGTCTCGGAGAAGCGATCGATTGTGTCGAAGGTCGGATTACGTGAACCTCCGCCGAAATTGTTGACAAGGACAGTGATGTGCAAGTTTTCTAGCTGGGTAGCAATCGCGTCGAAATCGACGGTGTCCCGAGCATGGTCTTCGGCACATTTGACGCACGCAACCGTACTAGCATCAACGGCGATTGTTTGGAACTGAAGCATAGGGTGGGTTTGCTAAAGTGATTTTCGGACATTATCAAATTTATCCTGGTTACGGCCGTGGATGACAACATTGAAGCCAGCAGCTGCAAGTTCATATGCAAAGGCTCGGCCAACGCCATCTGTGGCACCGGTGACCAAGGCCCAAGGCGTTCGCCACTCGGAGAGTCGTGTAGATAACGATTCAACTGAGAAGGCTTCAGGTAGATGGAGAACTAAGACAAAGTTCGTTACAGCAAGGATGCGGTGGTGAGAAGGCCTAGCGTAGTTATGATGCCGTCTAGGCTGGTGATGGTAAAATAACCTTCTATGAGAAATCTCATGATCATTTCTAACTATACACTGGTGGGAACAAGTCACGTCAAGAGTACCCGCGACAGGTTTATATAAATCTCGCAGAAAAGAGGAAATTGAGTTCATGCATCTACATAGTAAGTGGAGAGATCCGCTAATGAGGCGACGTAGTCTCTCAGAAATTAACCTGCATTCGTATAGACTTCTAGATGATTGGTCGGGCTCACGATAAAAGCAGCCCGCAGCCAGAAGTATGGGCTAAGTACATCTCATACCACAATGGACAACGACGTTTGTGGACCCACGTTTTCAACCTCTCATGGCAACGGCTCGGGCGTAACAGTTCAGCTTCTGCTACACCGGAAAGGTTTCCACAACAAATAATAATAACGAGGCATGTTTTCCGTCACCATCTCGACCATGTTAACGCAAACTTGGTCAAGCTATAACCTGTGGCCGAATGTGATTTCTTGTTGCAAAAAAAAATTAAACCTCTCTTGATTGAGACTCAGATAGATGAAAGGAGTAAAGGACAACTCGCCTTTGAACCAGTGCTCCTCGGGTGACAAAATTGTATCATTACGATAGTTACATTATCTGATCAGCTACTCATGAAGAGAGACTTGGGGCTTGGTTCTCGATATTCATTAATGCAGCAGACGCCACGCGAACAGAAAACGAAAAACGAATTTGCAATTAGTCCTTTGGAGACTTTCCGGTTATTTGAGTGAGAATTGACTTTCGGCTTACAATATAAAGCTTTTATAAGAAATTAATTATTATTACATCTATACGCTAGGTTTTCTTAGAGACTAGATATTCTAGGGTCATGTCTCCGGACCATCGGTCTGGAATTGCAGCTGCAAATAGTATTCGCTTGCGCTGTAGGTCAAAGACTTATAGGATCCCTCATGTGGCTGTCCATACCACGGTATTCTGAAAGTTAAGTCTAGAATGGCTGCTGCGCGATACGCCCAACCCACACCAGAGCTTTATGCAAGTGTCATCCTGGCAAGGTGTAAATGCACTTCAATGTATATTGTTTGATGTTCGCGATAAGATAATGTTGTGCATCCTATTCATCTTGGAGTGACAGCCTCGAAATGGTAACGTTACAATACACTTACGCGGGGTGTGAACCCTGCTCATAGTCCATTGCTGATGGGACCCTAACGAAGCTTATGACACGGATTGCACCGATCCCGGAACTGGAAGCCATCCTTTCTGCAAATCCCAGTTGAAGGCTCTGCAATATCGCCATAATAGTCTTACTTATCAGATGCTTAAGACAGGCTTCTCAGTTGAGGCTCAAGTCAGCAGAGAGTCTCGTCAGATTCGACCAGCATCGTGTGACTGGCCTGCCCGGGCTGTTGAGACCTCCTCACCTGTCTCTGGGCCTCGATTTTCAGGAGCGCGGACATTCAAAGCAATCTTATTTTGTAGCGAATTGAATAAATTAACGCCGAACCTACTGCTACTAATCACTCACGAATGCATCCGGAGATTTAGGTGATGCTAGCACCGGGCCTACCAAACAGCGTCCAATCAACTTTGTTTCTAGGCCAGAACGGGAAGCTTAGTATGCAAGGGGTATCATTCTCCCCACGAACTTTTGGTCAGTGTCTGCGATATCATGACAAAGTGTATATGCCGTGTACTAGGATGCCATGCATTAGCTGCCGATATGTGTATCTCTCTCTCACAGCCTTGTACGGTACCAGCCTAGTCAGCATGTTCAGCCAGGGGCGCCTGCACGTAAACCAATCTGCGCTAGTGGCCCCTTTCTCCTATTCCATCACGCGCCTGGATAGATCGAGGCACTGAGCTTGTAGACACGTAACAATATCGGTGGATTCTTTATCACGGACTCCAGCTAAATTGGCTTGGGCCTGACGCGTCTAGGAGCCATTCTGACAAGCTCTGTAGCATTCTTCATCCGCCATGTGCCCCTCCATTTCCTACTTACCCTTCAAATCTCCCATGCAGCCTAACTGTCATATCGGTGGCTTCCGTAATAGGACATCCTGTCTGCCCGCGATCACACCTTGTGCTTCAATGGGCGTCTAATGAGGTTGCCAATGTTCTACTATCAGCCCATGGGATGTAATGTTAATCACGGGCCTCGCGTTGTTACAAGCCTTAACACCCCAGACTGCACGATGCTACCCGTGGTGTTCATGTGGTTGGCGAGTCTCAGTCAACCACACACGTCCAAGGCGTGTCATTCATCAGATTAGCATCCCCTAAATTCACTGTCTAAGTCCAATGTCACGGCTACCATCATTAACGTAGGACAGATCCTAGACTGTAACAAACACTAAGACTATTCAGAAACCTTGGGCACCCTTTTGGGTGCTTGAAACTCACGGTCCGTACCACAAGTATATAAAACCTTTCGACGACGCCTTTAGGAAAGCCTATTTCAATTCCCATTCCAGATTCAGTGTATATCACCTCGTGACTCTAGATACCTCATATCTTGTATTTCTAAAACATGTCACGATCTATGTTTTCCACAATAGCGGTATGGAGCGCCGCACTCTTGCCAATAGCCCGTGCAGGATTCAGCTCCACTGCCTCCGATAACATCGCGGTCTATTGGGGTATGTTTGATCTATAATGACAATTTTAAGATGCTCAGTCTCGATTAGGTCAAAATTCATACGGTCAGGCCAGCTCTCAAGTACGGTTGTCAACATATTGCCAAAGTGAGTGTAAATGCTTGTGATTCAAAAGACTTATGCGCTAATGCAGTATCGATAGACACCGACATCGATGTATGTTTACATTACACAATCGCGTCCCTGAATTTTACTGACCATCGTAGATTATTCCTCTTGCATTCTTGAATGTTATCGTGAACCCGACCACAGTGAATTTTGCAAACGCCGGGGATAATTGTACCACCTTTTCAGGAACCACATTGCTGAGTTGCCCACAAATTGAGTGCGTTCATCGCACAAGAAGTCGTATCAATCAAATTGCTAAGATTTCCAAGGGCCGATATCAAGACTTGTCAGTCTACATATGGAAAAACTATTTTACTCTCGATTGGCGGTGCCACGTACACTGAGGGTGGCTTCAGCTCGTCAACTGCTGCAGTGAGTGCAGCAAACAATATTTGGGCCATGTTTGGTCCTGTACAGTCAGGAAGCACTGTCAATAGGCCTTTTGGAACTGCAGTCGTTGATGGCTTCGATTTTGACTTTGAATCGACCACTTCCAATATGGCGCCATTTGCAACACAGTTGAGGACCTTAGCAGATGCTGCAGGTGGTAAGAAATATTACCTCTCAGCGGCACCCCAGTGCCCGTATCCTGATGCCGCGGATAACGACATGCTTGCCGGTGCCGTGAGCTTCGACTTTATCATGGTTCAGTTTTATAACAACTACTGCGGACTGCAGTCATTCGTTGTGGGATCTTCTACACAGAACAACTTCAATTTTGCCACTTGGGACAATTGGGCCAAGACTGTCAGCAAGAACAAGTCGGTTAAGGTCCTTCTCGGAATACCGGCGAACACAGGTGGAGGAGCGGGCTATCAATCTGGCAGCACCCTTGCCGCGATCATTACCTACTGCAAGCAGTTTTCAAGCTTTGGAGGTGTCATGATGTGGGACATGTCCCAGCTCTATGCTAACTCGGGCTTCCTAAGCTCGGTTGTTGCTGACCTGGCATCAGGAGGTGGCGCAGTAACCACAACAGCAAAGACTACCTCAACAACTACCAAGGTAGGCACCACGCTTACAACGAGTACCAAGACCACAACATCGACGGCTGCTACTACAACACTGGTACCGCAGTGGGGACAATGTGGCGGAAACGGCTATACCGGCTCCACGCAATGCCAGCCGCCCTATACCTGTGTGGCGACAAGCGAGTGGTGGGCTCAGTGCCAGTAAATATGAAGGCCAACACCCGTGCCTCAACAGGATATGGCGACGATTGTTCTGAAATGCTTCTTTTGCACATATTTCTAAACATTGTACATACTTTCCGCGACCTCTCTTTGAGTCCACGTATATATTTTCTCTATTTAAACAAGTCGTGATGACAATCAGGCATATATGAACATTCTGTGAGCTGATTAAACCCTGACTACAATGACACACTAGAGAAACCCACCACATGGTGGCAACAGTCAACCCCGACGGACGGTCATTTGCCTGCACGAAAATGAGCCAACGAAGACTGCATCAACATAGACAACCGAAGTTAGTGTAGAAAGAATCTGTCGCTTGATTATGCAATGCAAAACCAGGTGGAGAGGGCTGGACACATGTTCATGTTCTAGAAGTCAAGACTAAATGCCCACGAATAAGGCTAGGCTTTGTGTGTGCCGTTTGTGGGATTTACAAACAACATGTGCATGCGATGGAATATCGAATATGTCGTCCAGTGGACCTAAGAGACTTGGCCACGTGCGTATTTGAAGCCCATGATTGATCAGACGGGTAACCATGACAGGACCCGGAGCGGTTGCTTGGCGCTTCTGGGCGGCTGTCTTAGTGGCTAGAGGCGCATCAATCAGGCTTGTTTGAGTGATTACTAGAACTGCCAAGCCATCGGAGGCTCCCTGGCACCCTTGATTCGCACCTCAGCAGCGAGATTTGGGTTGTAGGGTGTATCAACCTCGTGAGATTTATCGAAATGGACTGGTCAGAATCCCACGCCATTCCCGTTGCAATACCGTAGCCTTGAAGATGAGGGTGGTTCAGAGCAGACTGCATACCTGGAAGAAGCGCGCCCCGACGGCCAAGGAAACGCCATAGTCTTGGCCAGCTATCAATACCAGCAAATCACTGCAGGGAGCAGTAACCACGGGGCTGCATTCTACCTCGATTGTACGGCAGAGTTGCCCAGATTCATGGATGTAGCCGAGAATAATGCCTGAGACAATGGATGATAGAATGTCATTAACGCCTCATCTCATGTTCCTGGCCTTCGTAGGCCGAGGGCTGCCAAGACACCAAATGCAAGAAGAGCCAGGTAGAAAGGGCTGAGCAGCAGAAAATTCAGATCCTGTCCCAATGATATAAACTCACGCTCCCTGTCATTTCTGACACAGACGATTGCTCAATCACTTTCGTCTTTAAGCATTCAGCTGTTGGGACCTTCTCGGTTACCTAACTTTTTTAAGGTCGTCAAGATGCCTACTCTTCATCAGTATGACTACTTGTTTGCCATAGGCACCATCTTTGCCTTCCTCGACGCGTGGAATATCGGCAAGTTTTCCCTTCTTTCCAGACTTCGATGTGGCGTTGTGTAATACTAACAGTCTTACCTCCTAGGTGCCAACGATGTCGCCAATTCCTGGGCTACCTCCGTCGGTTCACGGTCTGTGACCTACTTACAGGCCATGGGTCTGGCATCAGTTATGGAGTTTGGCGGCAGTGTGGGTGTGGGAGCTCGAGTTGCTGACACTATCCGTACGAAAGTCGTGGATACATCTCTCTTCAAGGACGATCCAGCCATGCTGATGTTAGGCATGGTCTGCGCTGTTACGGCCTCGTCGATTTACCTCACCTTTGCAACAAGGATAGGTCTGCCGGTTTCAACGACCCACTCAATCATGGGCGGCGTCATTGGAATGGGCGTTGCTTCAGTTGGAGCAAGCGGTGTACAATGGGTCGGCAAGGGGTCCGGAACAGGCGTGATCAATGCTGGTGTTGTCCAAGTCTTCCTCGCTTGGATCTTGGCTCCCGGTATTGCTGCGTGCTTTGGTGCGATTATCTTCCTCATTACAAAATTTGGTGTGATGCTACGAAAGAACCCGGTTTACAAGGCACTTTTCCTCGTTCCTATCTATTTCGGCATCACCGCGGCTCTCCTAACCATGTTGCTCCTGTGGAAGGGCGGCAGCTATACGGTGACCCTGAACAATGCTGAGATCGTCGGCACTATCATTGGCGTAGGTGCCGCATGGGCATTGGTGGTCGCAATCTTTTTCTGCCCTTGGCTTTACCGCAAAGTCATCAAGGACGACTGGCAGCTCAAACTATGGCATGTGCCACTTGGTCCTCTTCTTCTGCGACGAGGTGATCCGCCGCCACCACCAGCCGACTGGCACGGTGGTATTCGAAATTACTATGAAGGTCATCTTACTAAAGAAGAATTGGAGGCTCGACGGGCGCACCAAGCTGGTGTCCGAATAGTCAATGATGAGGAAGCCGCTGCACCTGGACAGGAGAAGCAGATCAATCCAGATGACAATACTTCAACAGATGCGGACCCATATGAGCATGTCCCAGAATCCCACAAGAAAATTGTTGGACCTAAACCGGAGGGCGCTTGGTACAATGGATCGGTGTTATTCTGGTATGTCAAATACGCGCTTTTCCGTGGTGTCGACAAGGATGTTGTCAACATGCAGAAAAAGAAAGATATTCTTTCGGGAGACGTTGAGGAGATGCATGCCCGTGCGGCTCACTACAACAACAAAGCCGAGTACATGTACAGCTTTCTCCAAGTCATGACTGCTTCAACCGCATCCTTCACACATGGCGCCAACGACATCTCTAATGCTATTGGCCCTTATGCCACAATTTATCAAATTTGGAACGAGGGAACTCTTCCAGAAACGGGCAAGTCGCATGTACCAATTTGGATTCTAGTCTTTGGTGGTTCGGCCCTTGCCATTGGTCTCTGGACTTACGGCTACAACATCATGAAGAACCTGGGTAATCGCATCACCCTTCACTCACCTTCCAGGGGTTTCTCCATGGAGTTGGGCTCTGTCATTACCATTGTCATGGCTACACGTCTGAGTAAGTCAAATTGCATCGCCACTTGTAATTGATTTAAGTTGCTAATGTTGTTGCAGAGCTACCCATCTCCACTACTCAGTGTATTACCGGTGCTACCGTCGGTGTCGGCCTGTGCAATGGTGATTGGAGGACAATCAATTGGCGTATGGTCGCTTGGATCTACGGTGGTTGGATCATCACGCTCCCAGTCACAGGTATCCTGTCTGGGGTACTTATGGGCTTGGTCATCAATGCTCCTCGCTGGGGATTCCAGGGTTAAAGAAGACATCTCGAGTGGCCGTCCTAGCTCGGTCACATATATGTCCGGTGCGCGAAGGGTTCAGCTGAGAAAATGAAATAGGTTATAACACGGCCGGTGTCCTTCCTGTTCAATAGGGCGCTTCTAATGACGTAACACTCGATAAAACCTTAGGTAATTATACCAACGTGATTGTAATATTGAGGAGCAAATCGACTCAGTAAATTATGCATTTAATAACGCCAACTGGTTAGTAGAAACAAGACAGTCGTGTGAGCTTCTCCTCAGCTCACCTTCCGTGAAATGCATGCATTTGCCCGTGACAGATCTAGAGGGCTGTCGCCAGCCCAGTAATTCGCGAGAATTCTCCTTCGGTGTGCTTCCATACCTTTTCAACCATTCCTTCCCGCCGGTACTGTCCTAATAGCTCCTCAATCTCTGGCTTCATGCTCTCGCCTTCGTGATTGACAGAATAGACACCGCTTCCAATACGCCCATCAACACCCTTCGCAATTTGAATTGACGGTGTGAGAGGCACCCCTGAGGTAGATTCAGTATCTTTTGATGGTGGGTACTTTGCACTAGTGCACAAGAACGCGTGCCGCTCTCCACACTCCTTCAAAGGCATCCTTTTGAAGGCAAGCCTCAGTTTGAAGTAATACTTGACGACCTGTAACATGAAGCCTTCGTCGCCCCTGATAAGGTTCGTATTTACTGCCCCAGGGTAGTTGTGAATGAAAGAGACGCTTGGCGCCTGTTGAGAGATTGCCTCTAGTGCAAGAGTCATCATCGAACATGAGTGGCCCCGGACGTTGCTCATTGCAACTTTTCGACCGACAAAATCATCAGTGAACATTTTGCCCTCAAACCCTCCGGCTAGAACTGTGATGACACGTCTGAGGGATGGTGAATTCTGTAGTTGCGGCAGCAGGTTTATAACGAAACGCATTCGAGAGTAGTATGTAACACCTTGGATGATGGGCAAATTCTCGCTTGTCTCTGAGCAAGTCACTCTCAGCAATCCAGAGCTTGGGATTCAAGAGTGGGTGAAAAGATTTCTCACTGGGGAAATCACATACCGCCGGGCATCAAGGTCCCCTGACTCAAAAACAACACATTTACTGCGTTTTCTTTGTTTTGGATGTCTTTACAGACTTTGTCGACATTTTTGAGAAGGCTTACGTCTGTCTTTAGAAAGGTATAGTGACCTCCGGGATTGGATTGCTTAAGTTCAGCAATCAAGCGGTCGCCGGCCTCTTGTGATCTTCCAATGAAGTATACTCGCGGCTGTGTGCATATACGAGAGAATTCTCTCAGAGCCGTCTCTCCAATGCCTGACGTTGCGCCTACGAAAACACCGACAAGACCGGCCGGGAGTGCTTTGTCGGCACGAGAGTTAGATTCTTGCACATCGTTGAGTAAGACCATGATGTACGGAGCAAACTGTACGTTCTGGTGAATGGACTAAATGATACGACAAAATAGAAATATTATACTGAATCTGAATGCAAACTCTTTCCACGTCAATCAGGGAGGAGAAAGATGTTTGCTGAGACTGTTGGCGGGCCCTCCCATAAATACTTATCAGGCCTGTAGGCATGACAAGCAAACGCACAAATCCATATTTCACATTGACTTAGAAATCCGAACTCTTTAAAATCCAATGGGGCCATTCTTGGTACGAAATACGGTTAGCCTGCGGCAAGTGTCCCGTAAATACAGTTGATCCTGGCATACGGGACCTGGCAAGAAAACAGAGCCAATCATCGACGAATCTATACGACACAAAGTTAGCGCGATCAATGTACACAACAGCGCATCATAAGCCTCGGAATACATAACAAGGCCAAACGTAATGATTGCAGCAAATTCACTTTTAATTCTTGACTACTTCAATTTGTTTAGCTTTTCTGATGCTCAAAGACAAGAACGTTGATGTTTAAGTTGAATAATTACAAAAAACCCAACATCTTTAAATTCCCGAAATTTCGCAAGCATCCAAGTCAAATGACATCCCTGTTATCGGTGCTCTGTCAGAGGGCTTCTTCTAGGCACTGAACGTTGCAGGCATTCATGAAGACTATCAGATCATGCTGTTCTTGCTCGTCAGCCGTATACAACACCGCTACCGCCAAAGTCCACGGAGGGTCTTCATTACGGGCAGATGGCCACAGATCCACAAGTTCTTATTCAAAGCAAATGCATAGTCCAGTTCTGTGAAACTATTGCTCAGAAGATCCCAGACGTTGTTTCGATAGTGAATTTCGTAATGCCTAAAACGATGTGTATGCATCGTCTACATCAGGTGCAGTAGACTGCTTGCCCAGATAAAAGAATTGTCTCGAGGCTTTGTCCAACACCGACAATCCTTCGGTCAGATCAGATAGCAGGTATTTCGAATGTTGAGGTAGTTAGAATATGCGAAGGCCGGCTCTTGATTTACTTCGAGTGCGCGGATATTCTCGACTTGCATCTTCTGACGCGTGTACTGTAGCTAGACTTCGCGATGTCTAGTTGTCTGGGAACGCTTACAAATAAGTACTACAGATGCGTAGGGCTCACAGAAGAGAGCACACACCAGGACTCCAATTTCTAGATGGACCTTTGATGACGAAGTAACTAGGCGATTTCAAGACTTGGAAAGTGGATAATGCCCGGGAGCGTTATTGACTGCGAGATCTCGTCAGCTCTAGCAGAGGACCGTACTGATTTCCTAATAATCAGTTGGAGCGTCTATGGACATCGAAAGGAGGATTTTGATAGAGAATACTGAGGTGTGTATATTGGCTAAATGAGAGACCGAAGAAAGTCACCGATCAAGTCTTATTGTGTATCAGAACTGAGTCGTCTGAGCTTTTCATCATCTTCCCATATAGGCCACACCTCCTAGACTATCAATGCAGCGTCTCGCTACCATGCTGCAAATAATTAATAATACTGGTAATTTACTTACGTGTCACCGTGAAAAGAGAGCACCTGACAGGATTGCCCAATTTTTGGCCTCCTACCGCATTCGACTGCAAAGTCGTGTTGGTTCTTCCTGTCAGTGGGCATGCATATGCAGCTTCAGACCAATCGGATTTCCCGCGCCGCAACCTCTAGTACCCCTTGAAAATGATTGCTCATCTCTATTAATTGTGTTCTATGGGATTAAATCCAGTCCTTCGACTGCTCGTTCTGTTCATCTTCGTGAAACCCCTTGCCTGCTGAAAATTTGAAGTGTGTCACCCAGGATAAATGTCTTCACCACCAAATCCTGATACCACGCTAGAAGGCCATTCGGCTCACGATGTCATTGAAGTGGTAAGACTTGATAGACTGCATTTATCTCAGGACTACCGCGGTAACCGCCACTACTTCAGGGCAATACAGACGACCTGGACTCTGCTTATGCAGAATCGTGAGACGAGTGCAGTCCCAATCGGCGAAGTGTTTCTGATGCAATGTTAGGCTACCATCGAGCACTCAATCACTATCCTCGTCCGTTCTGAAGTATAGAATCGAGAATGGGCGAAGATATCATGCGTATAAAGATGGCCAGTACTGGTATATCATTCCTATTCACAGACAGATTACACATATAATGTGAACCTGATAGTTTATAGGGCTCCTAACGACGATACCCAGCAGGAAGCTGAAGATATCAGGTGCTACCACTTGCTAACATACTAATTCTTGGTCGTTTCTGATGCCCTGCCCAGTCATACTATGTACTTTCAGATCCTTGGTGAAAAGCTCACTCTTGCCCCGATTTCCAAAACCCCTCAGGTATGCATACAGATGCGTTCATATAGAAATGTGCTGACTCGGGACCCAGGCTGTCCTTGATGTTGGATGTGGCACCGGAATCTGGGCGATGTAATTCTCTTGTCTATCATTCTGCTCGCTCGGGGCTCATGTGTTCTTTAGGGACTTCGCGGACGAATACCCATCGTCAGAAGTCATCGGCGTCGATTTGTCTCCGATCCAGCCAGCATCTGTTCCGCCCAATTGCCGTTTCGTCGTAGATGATGTCAACGAAGCTTGGCAATATCCTGATAACAAATTTGACCTAGTTCATATCCGGGCTATGACTGGTTCTGTTTCAAATTGGGTAGACTTCCATAAAAAGGCGTTGCAGTAAGTCGTGCTCTTCAGTCTATTTGTACTAATCCTAAGACTACCCAGGCATATTAAACCTGGCGGCTTTGTCGAACAGGTCGAGACCTCGGGAATGGCGGTGTCGGACGACGGGACAGTGTTGCCGGACTCCGCAATATCGAAGTGGTGGGATATCTTCAAAGAGATTGGAGAGAAGACGGGGAAGACGTTTGCAGCAAGCGAGGTGGCGCGAGAGTCTATAGAGGCTGCAGGGTTTGTGGACGTCCATGAGTACAAGTTTAAACTCCCGTTAGGTCCCTGGCCCAAAGACAAAACCCTCAAACTCTGGGGATCTTGGAATCAGATCTTTGTTCTAGAAGCGCTGGAAGGATTCGCTCTTCGAGGACTGACTGCAATACTTGAGGTAAGTTACTCAATAGCGAGTTGGTCAAAGACTACTAATAAGCTATCGACATAGTGGTCTTTAGAGAAAGCTCAGGTGTACCTAGCCGAACTACGCAGAGAATTGAAGAACCGCGATATTCACGCCTATTACTATCTGTGAGTACTATTTATGCCGAATTCTCGGAGTCGAAGCGACAAGCACTCACCTAATACAGACGTGTTGTTGTTGGACAAAAGCCTGAAGCTTAGATATTCAATTCACGCTCCACTACTTGTCTATTCAATCAAGAGTCTTATATATTCAAAAATTCACTCAGAAAAATAATTTCTTATGCCACATAAAGTATTCACAATGAATATCACAATGAATATCTGTAAAGAGACAAAGCTCAATCAGATTCAAAAAAAAAAAAAAAAAAACCCCAGTCATATTTCCGTAGCCGAGGATGGTGAGAGAGCTAGGTAGATCAAATCGCCGTAAGCCCAAATAGGGAAACGAGGCCCTGCGAAAACCTAGGAAGGCGTCACAGCAGAGG